TAGATAGATAGATAGATAGATAGATAGATGAATAGATAGATAGATAGATAGATACTTTATTTATCCCGTGGGAAATTTAGACAAAATATAAATACAGATTTGAAGATAAATAACTGAAGCTGTACAAAGTTGTCATTTCTCCAGATCTGAGAGAGCATGTGCAGTTTTTGCAAGTTATGCAAAAATTTTACCTGAAAAAAATTATATGCAAGTCAGACTTCATGTGTTTTCATCATGTGTGTGCTCCCCATCACCACCAGAGGGAGGTATTGCTCCTACAAAACTAGTCAAACTGGAGCAAATCCAATTTAATGTTCCTTATACACACACATACACACACACACACACACACACACACACACACACACACACACACAACACAAAGTCATTTAACGTGAACGGCAGTAGACATAAACTTCACACACACACCTGTGGAGTGTGTAGCTTGGAAGCCCTTTCGTTGCACCGAGGCGTCAGAGATGAAGCGGAGGTACATCTTGTTCCCGGTGGAGACCAGCGGCTCCGGGACCTTGCTGCCACACAGTCGACCCAAGATGGCGGCCGTGTCGGTGTCCCCGTCGAAGGCCTCCAGGTGGTCGTACGCACACTCCTGATGCTGCTCGATCTCGAACTCGCTGAAGCTCTGCAGAGACAGACGAGTGAGATATGAGAGGATGCTGAGACAAGAATGTCCCGTCTGTCCCATCGTGTCTTTAGTAGAGAGTCGTTCCGGTAGAAACATTTTGAATTTCAGGTCTGTGAATCATCCAGAGTATTTATCATACGGCAAATAAAACTTTCAAAACGAGGACAGACACGTGTATCATTCACGTGTGGTTATAAATAAGTGTAAAAATGATAAACTGAATTGTGATTCACCACCATCGTCGCTTCGCTGTGTCTTCATTTAAAGTCAATTTCTCCTCAGTGCAAAGTTTGTTCTCTCAGCGTCGGAACATTTTACACTGACTCGGTTGGGAAGATGTTTAAAAATAGAGATATGTTTGCATCTCGTGTCTTTAAATACATCAGAGGAGAAACCCCCTGCCTCGACTTTACACACTGACACGGTCGTACAAAGTGTCACGATTCATAATCTCATCCAGTCACCGCGAGCTGAGTCATCGCACCTCGCAGGCCTCCCTCCCACACACACTCACACACCTCTGTGACTGCTTCCTGAGCGGGACTCTGTCACGCCACCGCGAAGCAACACAAAACAACACAAACTACCACAACACATCGATTTGTACAAACCAGAGGGAAGGAGAGAGGAGAGTGAAGGTGGGCAGATGTTCGGATGTTATTACTGAGATGCTGGTGATGGTTTCCAGATGTTTGTGAGTGTGAGGCTCAGGTGAGACTGGTTTTGGATCTGTTGTTATTCTGAAGTGTGTGTTTGTGAGCGTGTGTGTGAGAGGCAGAGTTAAGACGCAGTAACAGAATGACCTTCAAGGCTACCTTCAGATTCCTGGTATTAAATTTATCCCACTGTGATGTCATTCCCATGGACTCATGCTAATCTCAACACACACACACACACAAAGTACACGTTTCCGAATGTGTGTGTAACTCACACGTAGTCACACTCTAAAGAGGTGTGACTCTCGATGATGTAACGTCTGTTCAGTTATGTAAGTGCTGATAAGAGATTATAAAAACTAAATGACAGCTGATGACAATTTTGGAAACAGCAAGTTCATCATGTGGCTGCAGAGAAGACGTGGAGAGTCAAATCCTGCATGTGTGTGTATGTGTGTCTCGACCAAACATCATCCATGAATTACTAATATTACTTTTATTGTTATAACTTTGATTTATATAATGTCTTTCAATGTACAGAGCAAGCAAAACTGGAATCAAAATAAAACTTGGCCAGGGCCCAGCAGTCCACACTCAAATCCACTCGATCTCGAGCAGATGAAACACACTCGTGAATATCAGTCCCCGTGAATATGCCCGATGTCTTTCGTCAAGATTCACGGGTTATTCTCTGAGAAATCAAACGAAGATGTTGAAAAAACACTCGATCTCCCAACGTTGAAAACAAACAAACAAAAAAAAAATCCTGGGTTCTTCCCTGACTCACATCCTTCCACCGACTTTCATGGAAATCGTTTTAGTAGCTTGAAACACAACCTCCTCGTCTGAGTTACAAAAAACTGAAAACAAAACTCTTCTTTGAAGCTTAAACTGTTTCTGGTCTAGATTAAAAGATGAATCAGAAAATGTGAAGATAACGATCTGTGTCATCGAATTACTGCTTACAAACGTGCCCGTGTGTGTGTGTGTGTGTGTGTGTGTGTGTGTGTGTGTGAGTGAGCATGCACACACAAACACATAAAGACACAGATGGCCATTGCCCAAGGCCTCTTACTAATGTATGAGCAGCACACGCTTGTAGTTAGCCCGAATATATGAACACGCACGTTCGCCCCCCCCCATTCACATTTGGGTTTCATATGTAGAACATGGGAACGAGAGATGACTGTGGCAGCCTGAAGCTTTTTAACACAACACGACCCCACAGACAGAATAATTCATCGCTACGAGGAGGAGGGGGGGGGGCCCACAATGTTCTATACAGAGAGAGACAGAATAATTCAGTCGATGCATCATTTGAGTCAAACTTACGATCTTGACTCGGTGCCCCGGCGTGGCCGTGATGTCCCAGGTGCACTCCTTACGGCTGGGATACTTGTCTGGCCAGTTGGGGCTGCTCAGGGTCCCAATGGGGCTGTGGATCTTATGCTCACACTCAGCTGGACACACACACACACACACACACACACACACACACACACACACAGAAACACACACAAACACACACACACAGAAGGGAAGTTAAAATCGTGGCTGCACAGGAAAAGGTCAGAGGAAATGGAAAGGGAACAGGAAGGAGAGAAACGAGAGAACCAAACCAGAGAGAGGAGATCTCAAAGAAACACATCCTGGTGACAAGTTCAGTATGAATTTCACATGCACGCTCGCTTTGCACGAAGACTCTGCTGCTGTGAGACTGTTTTGTGCGAACACTGCACATCAATTTTGGATTTTTTTTTTTCCATTTCCAAGGCATTTTTTTTCTTCATTATAATTAGTCATAGAAACGGAATAACTAATTTTTCATTCATGGGTAAATCCGCCACACACAAAATACAGTATCTCAACTGAGTTCGATTTCATTTTTCTGCAACAATCTATAATATTCACCAATTATAGAGAAACAAAAGTTGCTTTTAACTCTTCCTTCAAACACAAAATGAACCGAAAACACCACAAACTGCAGCCTCTGTGAATTTAGGATTGAGTTACCTCTAAAATTAAATCAGTTCCATGGAAAGGTGTGGACATAGAGCGTAAATAGAGATGGACGACATGACGGCTCCCCAGTAGTGAAGCCAAAGTGTCACAACACGTGTGACATGAATTCTTCTCTCTATGATTTTTCTAAATTTTGCAAATTCGTTTTTTGGTAACTTTCTTTTAAAAACCAGGTCATGATTGACAGCTGAGACCTGTTGGTGGGAAACAGTCGCTCTGTTATTGTTTCTGTATCTTTGGATTTAAATAGAAATCAGATGACGACTCCTGCGTCGTGTTCGTGACCTCCAAAGATCTGAATGACAGCAACAGAATCTCACGAAACAAATCAGACATAACAGTTTGGTTTCCGTTGTCACTCCTGAGCAGGTGACTAACGGTAGCTTTGACACTGTACTTCATGGCTACACATCATATTTTAACATGCTAACAACAGAGCCGCAGCTGCTGAAGTTATGCCGCGTTCCATTACACCTCGGAGCTCGGGATTACCGACCTCGAAATCCACGATGGCTGCACCGTGTGCCGTGTACGTGAGTTTGAATGAATGGTGTGAGAGGAGTGGAGTGGCACAGTGAGGTGATGGGAGGCGTGGAGGCATTTACAAGACAACAAGATGGGTTCCAGAGCGACACTTTT